GAGCCATGGGAGCCCAGGAGGACCCTCTCAATGGGTGTTGGTGTTCCAGATTCTTCCTTAGTCCATCCTTCCAAGGTGTATATTTCACTTGCTTGGTGAGCATCTGGAGTTGGACAAGACCCTTTGAGACTGGTCAGAAATCCTGTTTTTACAACACTTCCTCATACAGGTGAGGGTTCTTTCTTTCGAGCTGTGGGACACTGGGCAAACCCCTTCCCCATTTTGGGCCTTGGGGGGAGGGGGCCCCATTTCCAAAGTGAAAGTGTTTGCTGCCCTGATGTGTGGGCCCTGGGTCATGGAAGCTGGGCAATGGGGAGTGGTGGAAGGCCCCACCTGGCCCTCTACTGGGATGCTTCATCTGTACCATGGGAAATCCTTATGCTGGAAATGTAGGTGGCCTCTCCCTGGTATAGGCAAACCAGGGAGAGGGGGGTCCAGAGGGGCCAGGGGATGGACTGCTGTCACCCAGCTAATAGGGGCCGTGCTGGAATTGGGATTCGGGGCAGGCCTCTCCCCTGGGGCAGACTGTCTTCCCCCTACCCCCCCCCCCGACTGAGCATGTCTTTCTGTCTGGACCATTGGCAGCTCGCAGCTGGTAAGTGGGAGAGCTCTGTGCATGACGGCTGTGACTTTAGCTGCTCCCATCCACAAAGAGGCTGGCGCTGTGGTAAGGCAGAGTAGAACCAGGTTAGAGGGGCTACTGGGGGGAGGGCATGGCTTGTGTGGCCAATGGATGTCACCGAATCTGCCACCAGCATGGCCCCTGGGCTGGGAGGGTAGACAGGGTGGTAAGTCAGGGGGCAGGGGCCAGGAAGAAATTGTGGCTGGGGTGGGGTAGGCTGTGGGCCATCAGGTCGCCTGCAGCTGCCTCTTCTGTCCCATGGAGCTTGGAGGGGGCAGCTTGCTCTGCTTGGCGCCAGGACGTATGCCGGGGACACTAATAACTCATTCTCCTGCCCTCCTTTACCAAGCAAATACAATAAACAAATATATAACCATCCAAGACAACTTAGATACTTCAAAAAGATCTAATCCTACAACGCAAACCATCGTTAATAAACAGCTTAGTGTAACCATATCCAGGCAGGTTTTGTTGTCTGTACACATGAATATAATGGTCCAGTTTTTATGGTATTCTATAAAACCTTCTAGAATACTCTACAGACAGCTCTGTAGGTCAGATACCTCTTTGACATTGATGATGTATATCCGTGGGATGGAGGTATTAGAATTGAATCAGTACCTTGGGGAGGGCTATTTGTGTTGTTCAGTTATTTTCTCTTAATTCCTGTTACATGACACCTCACTGCCCCCTGCCCCCATTTAGCAGGTGAACACACACCTACTTAGGAGTTAGCTGGCTCGGAGCCTCTGCCAGGGGCTGGGAAGGGAGAAAGATGCCAGGGCTAACAGCTTCCCCTCCCCAGAATTCCCAGGTTAAGGGAACACCCATATGGTGGTTGTGGGGCCACTGAGGTTCAAGAAGCTGCCGACATCATGGTTTAAAGGGAGGTGCAGGGCTGGGAGGCAGCCTAGGCCCGAAAATGTCTGGTCACCCCCTCCACCATCCACATTCATGGACACTTGCCTTCAGTCCTGACCTCACTGCCCTGTCCTATCCCCAGCCACACCCTGCTTCCCCACATGTTCCTGGTTTTTCTTTTCCTACTTTGAAGAACTCTGGGCTTGAGGTCCACTCCAGCTGTCCTGCATGGCCTGTCCCGCACCTCTGGGCAGTCCTGAGCCACTCCCTCGCCCCTCCCTCCAGCCTCTTGCAAGACGCTGAAGGACTTGGTGGCGGTGGTTTTGGCCTTCAGTGGGGTCACTCTGCTGCTGACCCTGAAGAAAGTGGGCAAGGTCTTCTAGCTGCACTGCCCCCTTGGCTGCCTGGGGAGCACGCTGGGGTGGGGGGGGTGGCCTGTCTGATCAGGACACCCAGGAGATGGAGTCAGTGGCCGGGGCAATGGAGAGACCTCTTCTGAAGAGGAGATTGATATGATGTCCCAGTCTACCATCAAGGAAAGCTGGGAGGCGGCAGGCCCTTCGGAAGACAACTAAACCACCCTTTTATTTACGCACAATAAAGATTTCTATTTCTCTAGTGCTCTGGTCGTGCCTTAACTCTCCCTGGCACTCGTGTGTGTTGGACAAATACGACCTCTTAACTGCATGATGTGAAGTGGGCTCTCTGGAGAGGCCATTGCAGTAGTGGCTTCCTGAGGAGGGTGCCTGTTTAGCACCAATTGGCTTGTTCTCTGCCCATGGGTTGCCCTGGCCTGGAGTCTGCATGGTAAGTGGCCCAGACTGTCAAATTTGATCTGTCTTATGGGAAATAGCCAGCAGCCACCAAGGGCAGCCGAGACCTTTCCTTCCTGGTCACTTCTGAGCCATTGGAATGGAAATGTAATTGCCCTTCACACACGGTAGGGAGCATGCAGGCCTCCGTCTTCCTGCCCCTACACTGCTTGCTGACCATTGCTGGTTGGGGTGCCCATTATTCATGGTGACAAAGTAGGACCTTTTCCCCCTCTCCCCTTCACCACCTCCTGGACATTCAGAACTGGAACTAAGTGGCCCCTGAGTGAGGCTGGGAGCCGGGGAGGGCTATTTCCCACTGATGGTGGAAATGGAGTAGGAGCTGGTTTGCCGTGGCTGGGCATCAGCAGATGCTGAGGGGCGCTTTTTGATTCTTGGCTTCAGCCCTGGCCTAGGCTCCCGGTGCTGCCCCTGCCTCCAGGTAGCAAGTACCCTTCTGCTCAGAGTGAGGTCTGTGATCGGCAGTAGAGGAGGTCAGGCAAATAAGGGCATCTGGTGGTACTCACAGCCATCTCAGCTTCAAAGGTGCAAAGGGTCCACCCCCTCATCCTTCTTCTGACCCTGCTGCAATATGGGAGCCTTTCCCTTGGGGGCAAGGATAAGGCTGCCCTGTGCCTCCACCCTGCACCATCGACTCTGGGCCAACCACTCCCAGGAACCCCTTGACCCACATTGCTGGTGCTACCACAGTCTTCCAAGAGAATGAGCCCATGCCCCTCTTTCCTTTCTCCCCTCTTTCTCCCTTCCCTCTCCCTCTCCCTCATTTGTACGGTGGCCAGATAAAATACAGGATGCCCCATTAAGTTTTAATTTCAGATAAACAATTTTAAGTATGTTCCATATCTTGCTTCCCCCCTCATAAATCTGACAACCCTCTCTTCCTCTTCCTCTCCTTCCTCCTTCACCTTCCCCAACTCTGAGAGTCAGCAGTCTTGTCTTATTCTGGAAAATTGCCACAGTAATGTGAATTTGGTGGGAGTGAGTAGGTGGGGGAGGGTGGCCTTAACTTCAGTGTTATTTTTGCCACCCATAGGCCAAAGGAAACCAGGCCAGTGTCTTTTGGGAGCTCAGTTTCCCATCTATAAAATGGAGATAAAATCCTGTGCCCATAAGTGCGGATGGAAAGTGCTAGCCATTGCTGAACATTTGCTTGATCGGTTTTGGAGTCAGGCCTTCCACTCTGGCTCACTCCAGTAGCCTTGGTTCTGGGCAGCTCGTTCCCAAGGACCAGCCATCCCTTTGGTTCCCACCTACCCACGTTCTCTGTGTAATTTGGTACCTTCTGGTAAGAGGTCCTAGGTGTCTCTGTGTCCCTGGTTTGGAGCAGGAATGTCTTGGAGACCCAACTTCTCCCTCAGTCACCCAAAGCCATGGTGAGTGTCAGGGGGTCATGTTTCCCAGAGGCCATGTGAATGGACAGGGTGCTAGGCTTAGAAGCAAAGCCCTAGTCCATTTTGCTGTGAGTTTCCTTGGACAAACATCATGCAGTTGAGCACTGGGGTCTCTATTGCCCCAGCTGACCAATGGGCATAACACATACTTTGCCGACAAACTAAGATTGGAGAGGGTGACACTCAGGACACTTCTGCTGGAAGATCTAGGACAAACAAGTCATTCCTTCTCTCCTTCTTTGTGAAAGTAGGGTCTTAGGAAGTGGTATTATGGACAATTAAAAGCAATGTCTTTGGAGTAAAGAAAAAACAAACCCTAGGTCTTGAATCTGCCACTTAAGAGCTATATGATGTTGCAGGTCACCTCCCTAAGCCTTAGTTTTCTTGTCCATAAGATGACCATGATAAGCGGCCCCCAGGGAAGGTTTGAGCGTGAAATGAGCAAAACTCATAAAGCACTTGGCACCATGTGGGGTGTGCAAGAAAGCACTAACCAGATGATAGCTGAGACTTTTAAATTATTATCACCAGGCCACAGTCTGAGCCAGATAGGACCTCTTTTGCTTTCAGTAAAGTTTCTTTAATTGCTTAAAATATAAGCTGTGAGTTCCAAAGGGAGGGGGTGAGGGTGGGAGTGATGGGTTGGGAAAGCTGTGTGCCCTGAATCAGACAAAGCCTTATGTAGGCATCTCCTACCTACCTGAGGGGGCAGCCACTCCCAGAAACCAGGGGGCTGGATCACCTGGGTCTCCAGGAGAGCCTACCCCGTCCACAGCCTGGTCTCTGTCCAAGGTGCTGAAATCTGCTCTGGGTAAGCTCCTTCTTGTCCTGCATACTGGTGAATTACCTGCTCACTACCTTCATTCAACTTCCCAAGTATACATTGAGCATCTACCGTATAAGGAGTAGAAGTAAAAGGAATTTAGATATATCTGTAACCCAAGTGGCTCATAGCTCATAGGGAAGAAATTTGAACACACACAAATGCCTTAGGAGAAGTGAGGACAGAAGCTAAGGATTCATTTTCTGGTTTCTTGGGTTTCAATGACATCACCTCTTGCTTTCACCTTGCTTCTTCCTCTTATGCAATCTTGGCATCCTCCAAAACTGTGCCTCTCATACCTTTCCTGATCTAACCACAGCACATAAGTCTTCCCCAAGGCAGCTCTTTCTCTACTCACTAATCTCACAGAGTCAAGAGGATTAATGATCAATTTCTGAGGGAAGGGAGGGTGGTAGGATATTGATAGAGAAAGGAGGGGGTCAGGGGTTTCAGAGAAGTGAGCGAGCTGCCTATACAGGGGTGAGTTCCTTGTCATACTTTTGCATGCCCTCGTCTGGGAGCAGCACCTCCACAGTGAAGCTGACCTTCTTGGCGTGGACAAAGCTATAAGTGTTGTCAAAGCGCAGGACATCTGGGGGGACAGATGGACAGATGGGTAGTTAGGTCTGGCTTCACACTCCCCATGTCCCTGCCCTGGCCACAGGAGGGAGGACAAGCTGTGTTTCTACCTGCTATGTTTGCTAAGCTGGGCCAAGTTCCCATCACTCCTGTTCCTTTTCCCATGGGAACTGTCAGCCTGGAGCCATGTCTGTAAACAGACACTGACCTCCTCTTGGCGCATGCCCAGCCTGGCTTTAGTTGCACCAACTGGCAATGAGAACAATGGCCACTGCGTCCCATTGTCTCCACACCTGGACACTGCCATGATAGGGGTTGGGGGGCAGTTGGGAATGTCAGAGTCCTCCCAGTCCCCTTGGGTAAAGTGAGGTGCTAGGTGAGGCCAGTGCATACCTTCTACTTCCTCACAACCACCCAAGAGGCAGAGGTTGTAACCTCTCTTCACAGGTGAGCAAACCAAGGCTCCAGATTGCTAAGACTTTGCCCAGGGTTATGCAGCTACCATGAGGCTGAGGTGGGACCCTGGCATCACACTCAGCTGTGTGGCTCTGGACAAGCTGATTTACTTCTCAGAATCCCAGTTTCTTCCTGGGAAATGTCACACTTGCCTTATTGTCCCTTGCCTGTGGCCTGTGGCCTGAGTGCTCTCAGCCTCTTCAAGGCCTGTGTGTCGTTAACTCTTAGTGTGTAGTAAATGCTTGAGAGTGTAGCCTGAATGACCAACTGTGTGAATGAATGGCACTAACCTAGGCTGTATGTTCCTGGGGTGGGGGAGAGTCACTGCAGAGTCTGAAACAGAGTCTGTTTCCTCCTCTAAACCATGGGACAGGTGGCTCCAGCCTTCCAGAGCTGGGGCCCAGCCAGGGTAGACTTACAGACACCAGCTTCTGAGCAGGTGAGGCTCCCATCCTCAGGCACCATGTGGGCATTGTAACGCTGGCTGGGGAGTACTTCTGTCATTTCCCCGGCTCGCTGCCGCTCCCCCAACTTGGTCTTCAGGAAAACCCCAAAGCCAATGTCTGCACCATCAGAGGAGAACTGCCACCTGGGTGGGCGGTGGGAGGGGGACAAGTTGCGCTCAGTCTGATGGGACCCTGAGGGTGTAAGACCAGCCAGAGATGGGTTGATGTCCTGGCCCTTACCTGAGGACACAGCCTGGGAACAGAATTTCATATTCCACCTGGTGTGAGGAGCCACGATTGATCTGCACTGAGTGCTCATACTGAGTCTTCACTTGGTCCCGCATATACATGGACTTGGGGATCTCCCCACCATAGTTGATCTGCAGACACAGGACAGAATGGGTTTGCTTCCCTCTTTTGACCATTGCATTGCTTGTGCTGTTTCATGCTGTTTCTCCTGCCTGAGATGCTTTACCATCTTCTGGAAGTATCCTACTCACCCTGTCCTCTTCCCACCACCCTCAGAAAGCCTTCCTTGACCCTCCAGGGTCAAAGCCTCGTCTGGAAACTTCCCCTTCCAGCTCATCCCTCAGAGTCATTTTCCTCATTTCTTGTTTCCCTGCACAGCTGCTGAGAGCCTGGTGATAGTAGGGCTGGGACTGTCTAGCTCAATACCTGGCTCACAGGGGTCTCTCCATAGACATTTGTGGAATGAGTGATAGGGTGAGAAAGGAACTCAGCTCTACTCCTCTCCCCTCCCCTGTCTGGGGCTCTTCGTACCTTAGTTAAACATTTGGGGTTCCCATCTGGGTCGGTCAGAGTTCCCCCAAACTGAGCAGGTAGTTCCTCGGGACTGATGTGTTTCAGCAAGCCTTCCTTCCAGTTGCCTGCGGGCAGAGGGCTTGAAGGGTTGTTATCAGGTGTGGAGGGTACTTGTCAGCCCCCCATTCCCACCAGGGGGGCCTGAGCTTGGGGAAAGCCCTACAGGGACTAGGCTACCAGGACCAATTCCCCAGCCTTCCAGGACTCGGGCTGCAGAAAATGTCCTCCAGCATTGTGTTGCTATGGAAAAATGTTTCCTTTGAGCTAATGGGTTTGCACATTTTTGAAGGTCTTCTGATCCTGAATAGTGAAGATAAGAATCATCTAATTGTCTCAAGGAGGCTTTAAAGCCTTTGAGGTCAAGGACCTTGTTGGGGGGGCGCCTGGGTGGCTCAGTCGTTAAGCGTCTGCCTTCGGCTCAGGTCATGATCCCAGGGTCCTGGGATCGGGTCCCACATCGGGCTCCCTGCTCAGCGGGGAAGCCTGCTTCTCCCTCTCCCACTCCGCCTGCTTGTGTTCCCTCTCTCCCTGTGTCTCTCTCTGTCAAATAAATAAATAAAATCTTTAAAAAAAAAAAAAAGGACCTTGTTGGGGGCCATAAACATGTAAGTGGCATACTCAAGACAGACCTCTTGGTGGGGGATGGATAGTCCTGGGCCTTTGAATGGACCTTCCCTTTCTGTGCTGCTTAATCATTAAAGCCATAATGCTCATTACTGTTCTTCATGCCCTGTGCAAAGCTCTAAGCATTCTGGGTTTTATGACCAATCCAGGCTATCTCCCTTGCCCACTCCCAGCCCTATTGTGGCCATGGGATATTCCTTGCCACCAGTGGGATAAAAACAAAGACCACAATGCCTGGCAGACCAGGGCCAAATGCACAGGGCCCTGTGTGCCACTAAGTAGGACGAGCCCTGGACTTGGACCTGGAGTGTGGCATTACCCACACTGCTCCAGGATTTGGGGGGCTACCTTGTGATCCACCTAGCTCCCTATCCCTGTGGAACTGGGCAGAGACAGAGACTCAAGTATCAGGAAGAGAAAGAAAGCAGGATTTGTAAGATTCTACCCGCCCAGATCCTTAGATCTCCTGATTTGATGATCTGACCATTCTGCTTGCAAGAAGTTGTCTCTAAGTTCAAGGTCATTGGCTTGAGTTTAAGAACTATTTCTCTTCTTTTCTTTCTCTTTCCTTATCATTTTTTAAAATAATGATTTTTTCTACTTATAAAAGTAATACATGTTATTATAAAAACTTTAGGAAACAGAAAAAATACAAAAAATAAAATTAAAAAACCACTTGATTTCTTGCCATCCACAAATCAACATTTTTTTGTCTTGTTTTGTTTTATTTTATGATTTTCTTTCTTTACACTCAAAAGGTTCAGATAAAACTCCAGGCATTAGGTTCTTTATCCCAAATGCACATTTTTAGTTTGTCCATCAGCCACCACCTTAAAGCCCAGACTACTGTTGAATTTTATAGTAATTCACGTGTAACCACTTTGAGAAGAAAGCATGCCCCAGTGACAAAGTTTCTCAATATTTTTTGGTCTATGATCCATCTGTGAACTTCCTAGTAAAGAGCTCCTTCCAGTCATCAACCTACTCCTCTGTTAACCCTTAGCCTTCCAAACCCAAGTGCAAATGTGTATACACTGCACAAATCAACATTTTGTTGCATTTTCTTCTAGCAATATATTTTTGTTTTTACAAGGAAGATGATACTATCCACACCACTTTATAATCTGCTTTTTAAAAACTTAATAACATTTCCCTTGGCATCAAATCATTTTTCATGGTTTTCTAATAATTCATCAAATGGATGCATTATTATTTACTTATCCAGTCCCTTCTTGTTGACCCTTCCTTCTCTGAATCACATCTCCTCTTCTTGCTGTTCTTCCTCATCCTCCCCAGCCCAAATTGCCTTTAGAAGCACTGAGGTAATGAGTATTGAAAGGAAAATGAGGCCCATAGCCCAGAGGTTGTCTATCAACCAAACTGAAACTAATGAGGAGGAAGGTGTGAGGCCTCTGTCACCAATGACATGGAATGAGGCAGAAATACCTGAACAGACTCTATAGTGTAAAACACATTTCACTTCACTTTTGAGGAGGAATTTCTGACTCTAGGTGGCGCAGAGCTCAGGGGATAGAGCTAGAATTACTTACTTCCCAATACTATAATTTTTCTGCGAGTGTCTTCACTCAGGAAGGGCTTCATGAGGTTGTAGCCTACAGGGAACAGTTTTGTGGCTGGAGAGATACAAACAAAGATAATGGAGAAGAAAATTATTCCACTGGGACATTCTCTCCGTCATAGTCATAGCCAACAATATGGAGGAGTCATGAATTGGAAAATGCCCTGCAACTGCCAAACCATGCCCACAACTGGTCAAACAACCAACAAGCAGTTAACTAACCAGCTACCCAGTCAATCATCCAATCTATCAACCAACCAACAAAATGGCCAATCAATTTACCTTCTAATCAGACTACCAACCAGTCAGCCGATCTACCAAATAGTCATACAACCAACTAACAAATCGGCCAACCAGAAAACCCATCAGCCTATCAAGCAACAAGCTAACCACACAGCCAATTGCCTTCTGCAGCCAGCCAACCACCCAAGGTCCATCCAAATGACAAATCAGCCAGCAGACTAACCAATCTGCCAAGTTGCTACTCACCTACCCACCCAAACAAAATGCCAGCTGGTCATTCAATCAGTCAACCAAGCTAACAACTATCCAACAAACCAACCGATCAACCAGTCACTTAACTGACCAACTAACTATCCAACCAGCCACCAGTCATTCATCTAGACAGCCAACCAACTGGCCAGTAAACTAACAACCAACTAACCAAATAATCAACCAACCAACCAATTAACCAGCCAACCAACAAACATCCATCCATCCTTCTATCCATCAACCTATTCAACAACACAAATACCTATTAAGCATCCACATGGTTCCAGGCCTGTGAAGGGTACAACAGAAGTGGAAAATCAAAGGCCCTGCCTTCAAGGAGTGGACAACTCAGGAAAAAACCAGGATGAACACACACAAGACAACTAGAGACCTCCAGAAGGCAGCAGACAGGAAAGGCCAGACTTGGTTGCTCCAGATGTCAGTGCCACAGGCAGTTTGGGAATGGAGAGATCAACATGGGTGGGAGAAATGAGCAAGGATTCCTGAAAGAGCTAGTGTGGGAAATGCCTCTTCTTGCAGTAAGGCCAACCATTGAAATTATTATTTATGGAACACTTACTTTGTTCCAGGCACTCTAAGTGATTTGCATGCAGCCAAGCAACCAACCTGCCTCACTACTACCCAGGGAAAAAGGCACTTTCATTGTTCCCAGGGTACAAATGAGGAAACAGAGGCACAAAAAAGTGAAGTCATTTGCCACACACCTTTCACAATGAGCATGAACTTCAGGGTCTCCGGGTAATTCTCTTCAAGGAGGCCAAAGAACTGTAGAACCAAGAAAGACCCCATCAGAGCCCACATCTCATCTCATCTTCTCCTATCCCCATGGCCTTTGCAATCTCCCCTCTGGAGTGTTCAAAGGGCTAAGGAGGGTTTCCTTTATTTCCATCACCTCCACTGGCCCCTGGAGGAGAGTTTTTCACTTCAGACTATTACAACCACACTCTAATATAATCATTTTCAGAGTAAATCTTATAGTAATAGTAGTATAACAATAATAATGACTATCGTTTATTAAATGTTCACAATTTGTCAAGCACTGTGTACACATTTTATATATCAACCCACTGGAATATCCCTACATCCCTTTGAAATGCAGACTATTGGTATCCACATTTTGTAGGTGAGGAAACTGAAGCATGGAGGCATGAAATGACTTGCTGGAGTCACAAAGCTAGGGAGGACAGAGTTGGGAATGTTTGGCAGAAGGTGGCCTCTATGGTCTCAGTACAGTGTTGAATCTGAGGCCTGTCTTTTGGGAAACACATTAAGGCCCTTTGGGTCCTGAGTTGCAGTGCCGGAGCCTGGGAAGTCCACCACCTTTTACCAAATCCTGGCTCTGAGTGAGCCACAAGGTCTCAGCAGACCAAGCTCATCATTAAGGAAGCAGGGGTCATCCAGGGGGCCTTCTCCTCACCTCTTGGTACACTTCCACCAGAGGTTTCCAGAAGTGTTTCAGTCCCAGGCCCTCACAGTCAAATATCATCACAATGGTCTCAATCTTCTTCCCCAGCTGCAAGGATGAAAACAAAGACCAGTCCCAATGTTCAGGGTGCAGGCTCGGAACTTGGGACATGGTGACCCTAGCATATGACCCCCTCAGCAATTCTCCCAGTCCCCTACTCTGTCCTCAGAGGAACAAGTGGACAAAACTGAATGCATTTACTCACACATCCACCTACCCAACCATCCATCTATCCATCCATCCATCACCCATTATCCATTTATCATCCATCCATCCCTTTGTCCATCCATCCATTAATTGACCCACCCACCCATCAATTTACCCATCCATCCATTCATACTACAATTCAATCATCCATCCATCCCTCTGTCCAAATGATATTTGTTAAGCACCTATTTTGTGCCAGACATGGAGAATATAACATATAATACTCTTGTCATCAAAGGGTTCACAGTCTACTTGGAGAGACTGACAAGCAACCAGGTCACTATAAGTCCTGAGGTAAGTGCTGCAAATAAACAGCTTAGGAGCTTTGGGGACACACGTTAACCCAGACAGGGACCTCAGAGAAGGTGACATCTAAGTTTGGGATTTGAATGATAAAAGGGAGAGAACCAAGAGAAGTGTGGGAGGTAGCGGTGTGCTGGGAGGTAAAGTTATTCAAACAGAAGGAACAGCAGGGGCAAAGACTCAGAGGGAATAACAGTAACTTGTATTATTGAGAAATATGCATGAGGCTGTGTGCTGGGCCATACATTTGCATTATCTCATTTAATCTTTGCAACATTATTTATTATTATTCTTGTTTTGTGGGTGAGGAATAGGCTTAGGGAGGTGACATGACCCTCCAAGACCACACAGCTAGGAAGCAGCCGAGCTGCTGAGATCGTTTGACCCCAGAGTCCTCTGACTGTGATAGCAGAGAGCACAGTGTGTTCTTGGGACTATGTCCCTTGGCAGCCTCACCTGTACCCAGCTGCCCGCCTCGCTCAGCCTGTGCCTTACCCGTTCCGTCTGCAAGTCACACTCATGCAGGATGCGCTCGCAGTCCCTCATCTTGGTCTTAAGCAGGTCCTGCTTGGTGACGGAGAAGAGCAGGCCCTTTGGGTCAAGTGGCCCAATGATGTCATACCACACCGGGCAGCCGTCCCGGTCATAGCCACACAGGCCTCCAGGCATGTACTTCTGGATCACCTGGGCATGGAAAGATATACAGAACTTGGCATTATGCACCTCCCCAGAGACCCCCAGACTAGGCTGACCTGGCTGGCCCAAGCCTACACACAGCATGGTACAAGCACTCCCCCTGAAGGGTGACACTATTGTCCAGGTGAGAAAACTAAGGGACCCTGAGGGGAGGGCCTTGCTTATAGCGAGTACATGGCAGAGCCAGGCCTCAGCTGGGCCTGGCTGAAGGCCTCTGGGCTTCTTAATTCTGTCCGCCAGCATCTCCCATGTCCATTTCCATTGAGAGAAGTTGGGCTTAGTGATGGAAAACATGGATTCTGAAGGTCAACATACTTGGTTCAAATAGAGACACTGCTGCTTCCTTGCTGTGCATCCTTGAACAAGTGACACCTACCTCTTTGAGTCCCATTCCACTTCCTCTTCTGTAAGAAGGCTTGGATAACCCCTCCCTTAGGGAAAGTCCCCAATATCATGTTGGCCAAGCACAGTGCTTGAGCCAGAGCTCATGCTCTACAAATGAAACTCTGCCCCTTGCTTTACCGAGGTGCCAGTGGTGGGACTGTTCTCTCCAACAACTTGGTGGGCTAAATTTCTTTCCCACACAGATGGGATGCTTTGAGCAAGATCCCAGGGGTGAGGGCCCGGAGGCACAATGGTGGTGGTGAAGGGCCAGTTTCATGAATTCAAATCCCAGTTCCACGTTGGGGCTGTGGGGCTTTGGGTAGCGTGCTTAACTTTTGCTGGACCTCAGTGTCCTCATCTGTAAAATGGGGACAACTGCGCCCCCCTTACTGAGTTGTGATGACTAAATGAGTTCATGCAGGTAAAGTTTCATCTCAGGCCAGGACCTCATAAGCACCCAGGAAATATCCATAATTATTAGAGGAGAGGTGCCTGTATGCCTGTGGGCAGTTCCACGGCCCTCTCGGGTATGCTGCCCTTCATTCATGCTCTCCAGTGACCTAGACGCTGTTTTAATGTTATGTCTGTAAAAGACTGGGGTGTTGGAGGGGTGTTGGCTTACCTCTGGGGGCTGCCAATCAAGGATGTGGTCAATGTCCATGGACTTCCGGAACTCCATGTACTGCAAGGGAGAGGAGAGGTAAGGCCCCGTTGGGCTCCCAGCACCTCCAAGAAGGGGATGGAGATGGGGGCTCGAGGTGTGGATTGCCCCCCACAAAACCCTTCCCAAATCTCCAGGGGTGGACAGATCTCACCTTGTGGAGCATAGCCTCTGATTTCTGCAGGTCGAAATTCCGAGCTGTGTGAAGATGGAAGGAAGATGTGAGGCAGGAGAGAGGCTGCCTTGTAGTCACTTTGTCCTGGTCCTGGGCTGTGAGGAGCTATGCATGGCACTGGGGGCCTGGGTAGGACCTTCCTTCCCTGCACCCTCCCCTCTCCTGGATCTGAACATGTGAAGCAGGATGGTGTGATTGGATCCTGAGAGCCGTGAGTTGTTCCAAAGCAGTTGGGACCAGGCCCCTCTCGCTGCCCCTCACCCTGATCTCCCCCACCTCTTCCCTCACCTCGGAGCCAGCGCAGAAGGAAATAGTCATCAGGATTGGGTAGGGCGGGCAACACCTCCTGCACATTTTCTCGGAACTGGGAAAGGAGGTGCTGGTTAAAGTGGCTTTTGCACTGAATGTTGGCCCCCAAACTCAATAATTGTTGTCATCATCCCTTCTCTTCCCCATGCAGTCTGGCCCATGATGATGGAAGGATGGGTGGACAGATGGATAGGATGAGAGATGGGTATATGGATAGATGGGTAGATGAATGGATGGAAGGGTAGATCTTGAGTAAATAGATAGAAAGAAGAATGGATGGTTGAATGGGTGGTTGGATGAGTGGGTGGGTGGATGGAAAAAGAAGGAAGGAGAAATCAGTGAATGGAAGGAAGGAGAAATGGGTGAGTAGAGGAAAGAGAGATTGGTAGGTGAATAGACAGAAGGAGGGATAGATGGATGGGTGGGTGGGGTGGAAGGATGGATGAAAGAAAGGATAAATGAGTGGGTGGGTGGGTAAGTGGATTGGAGTATGAGTGTATTCATAGTTCTTTCCGTGTGTTAGCCCACCAAGGCTTCTGCCTTTTTTCATCCCATTTTCTACAAAAGCATGGTTAGTGATTACATGTTCTCCTCCCCATTGGTTGTGGGGATGACAACACACCCTGCTCTGTCTCTCTCACTCTTACAGACAGGTCATCTTTCAGGTCCTGGGGAAGGAGAGGGAACAGAATCAGAGGGCACACCATTAACATCCTTCAGTTCCCCACCTAAGGGGCCTGGGAGGGATGGGGAAGGGGCTGCTGTGGGTAAAGCTCTCTGGTTCTGGCTCCCACACGAGAAGTCAAGTTTGATCTGGCACACACACTGTTACTGCTTGGAGGTGGTACTTTTCCCTCAGTCCCTACCCTGGACAGAGCTGATACCACTGGCTACTGTAGAACATGACCCTGGGTAAGGTGACAGTAAAGAGAAAATTTCAAAAACACTCTGAGCCAACAGAGTGGGGCAGGTTTCCGGCCCCCCCGCCCCCCCCTCCTCAGCCCTTTTCTGCTGGGGCTCCAGGGAAAGAGGCTCTCACCTTGGCCAGGGTCTCCGCCTGCTTGGGGCTCAGGTCTCCAACTCGACCACTCATGGTGTCTGGAGGAGTAGGGGCCACTGCCGGCAGAAACCAAGCCTGATCTGTGGCCCTGCCCAGCTGAGGACTTTTGCCCCCACTCCTGGGTGCGGCACCAGGCACTTCCTTCTTGGCCAACTGTTGGATCGCACGTTACATAATTGGGATTAAGTAAGGTCCCATGCTTGGATCTGGGACAGGTCTGGAGGGCAGGCGGGCACAGGAGGGCATGCCAGAGGGCATGGGAGCCCAGGCTGAATGTCTGTAAAACCTCCACTCGTGCTCCCAGGCCTCCAGAGAAGGGGGGACTTTCAGGAAGAACGAGGACTGCCCCCTGCAGGCACCCTTTCTCTCCCATCATCAATCTTCCCGTCTCCCTAATGAAGAGACCCCACACCGAGGGTTGTGCAAGGGTCACCCCCTACACCCAGCTCTGGCTGGTAAGAGCCAGGGACTTGGTCAGTCTAGTAAACGGTTCATTCAGTTTGTTGGGGTGGGAAACTCACATCCTTTTGCACCAAACGTCCATATTCGAGAAGAGACGGGCTGGGGCAGAGAAATGGAATCAAATATGTCCTTGCTGAAGGTTTGTTTTTTCCACAGGGCTGACACTACTTTTCCTGGTGTCTTTCAAATCCTATCATGCAATGCGGGCCCTGCACCTTCAACATGGGGAAGGACTGAGCAGCCCCCACCCTGTTGCCTGCCTTCCTATTGTTGGGATCATGAGGACATGAGGGTTCTTGTCTGGGATCCCACATTCCCCGGGGGGGCCCTAAGGGAGAGGTGGGGCATACTGATGGTCTTGGGGTGGTGAGGGTGTTTCTTGGGATTTTAAACACCTGATCAGTGAGGGGTGTCCAGCAAGTATGCAAGGTGATGAAGGAAGCCCAGAAGACTTCCCTGTCCTTTGATTTCTGTCATGTTGCCTGATGGTCCACCATCAGACCTGCCTGCCAGGACTGGCCAGGTTCCCCATTCCCCTATGAGACCTCCCTTTCAAGAGGACATCTCTGAGTGTCACTTGCCTCATTTATGGAATGAGGCTATCAGTGCTTGCCCTGTCCTTGTGCAGTTGGAGGGAATATCTAAGGAGACATATAGACTGTCAAGGGTCATCACATCTAAGGCATTATTCTTGTTCAGCTGTCAGTAGCTCCAAAAGAGCAGAGGCCACGTTGTCAATGACTGTCTACAAAGAAACCAGGAGCACATCTGCTTGAGAGCACAGCACATCCATGTGGCCATATCTTCAGGACTTGAGGGGGTCCATGTGGGCTGAAACAATCCCTGGGCCAGCTCAAGCCACTCTGCCCAGGGCTCTCCCTGATTCTCTGTCTGTGGCATCCTGCGTCCCCATCCCTGGGCTAGCTTGGGGCTTCTTGAGGCTAGCTGACGCTGGTTAGTGCTGGACACCTTCCTTGCTCTGGGTCCCTGATAGAATCTGACCCACAAGGAGAAGGGGGAGCATCTTTAGCCATCTCCCTCCATCTGAGGCACCTGCCAGGAGCAGTTAGGTAACTCCACACCTCAATCCTGCCCCACTTCACATTCCAGCCTCTTTCTGCAAAGTTCCTGGCCGCTGTCAACACCTACTTCCTGCCAGGCTGGGAGCAGGTAGAGATTGGGTTCCTCCACTGCCCTCCCATTAGCGCCTAATCCTGCTTATTTCCCACCAGTCTCCTTTCTCTCCCTCATCCCTTTCATGTGAGGCACCCCAGTTATTTCTAGGGACATCAGAAGCTGGGCAGGGAGAGCCAGGAGGAGCGCCCATTGTGCACACAGCATCATCACTTATAACGCCACCCAATAGAACTTTCTGCAAAGATGGAAATGTTTTGTATCTGGGTTGTCCTAATGAACATATTTGGTAGCCACTAGTCACACAGGAAAATGGTTAATGAGACTGAGGAATTCAAGTGTGAATGGAATTAAATTCAATTTTCATTAATTTTACTTTAAATCATCCCATGTGGGTTGTGGCTACCATATTGGACAGTGCAGGTTTATTATACTTATTGAAGGCTTATTCCACGCCAAACCCCATCCTAAGTACCTTGCCTCATTTAAACCTCAGAACACCCCTAGGGGTGGGTACCATGGTTAAGCCCATTTTATAGACAAGCAAACTGAGATATAGAGAAGTTAAGTAAACTTAGCCAGAGTTAAGCCCACCCAATTAAGCACTCTGCACTATTAGGTTATCCCACAGTCTCAGCTCCAGGAGCTTCCATCCTAATCAGAGAGAGGACCCAGGCACAGAAGTCATCGCAATGGGATGCAGGTAGCATTTGAGCCAGATTTTCAAGAAAAGAAGGATGGAGACTGGAGTAGAGGAAAGGGCATCCCAGGTGGAGGGAAAGTGCATGGGCAAAGGCGTGGAGGTGGGAGAGTGAAGAGCATGTGGAGGGGAATGTTGGGGATACTGCAATAAACCAGAGAGATTAGGTCTCTGTCTGCATGGAGCTCACAGTCTCCCATTAGTGGAGCATTTCTTCTGTGCTGAGAGCATTACATCATTATTGGACCACTTGGAAGCAGGCAAGGGTATCCCCATTTTACAAAGACATGGAAGATCAGAGAGAGTAAGAAAATTTTCTGAGGACACACAGCCAGGAAATGGGGAGCCAAGATTTGAACCCAAGCCTCTCTGACTCTGGAACCTGCACCAGAACCACAGCCCAGGCCTGTCTTCCCTTGGAGGAAAGTGTGCCTGGTACATTGTAAGTGCTCAATAAATGGTCTAAATCATCATCGTGTGTTAGGAAGCCTGGGTCCACACCCCAGGGAGTGTGGAGTGTCTTGAGGCCAGCAAAATTAACTTCCCTCCTTTGAAATAAATGCCCTGGCAAAGGAGAACCTCCAACCCCCACCCACACTGCATGTTTTCTCCCAGTAGATCCAGTAAATCCCCAGATCGTGTTTAGCTCCTAGTTTGCCAAACTCTCAGGGGACCATGGCATGGCAACAAGCAAACAATGGCAGGGGGACAGACAGGGCCACCCACACCACACCCTGAAACCCCTCCTTCTAGGTGGTTACTAGGAAATGTGAAAAGGCTGCCTCTCAGGTCCCTCAGGCCCCAGGGCGGTCATACCCACCTTTCTATCCACCCTCCCTTAGATGGGTCATGCCAGAACCAGTTGGGCCAGTACAGAGGGGGCCCAGGAGAAGCCTTTCTACAGGATGAGCGGGGTGAGCGTTGCTGGGAAGAGGCAAGTGGGGAGAGCTCAGAGGGCTGTAAGGTGAGGTGGGGATGGCTTGAAAATAGGAGATGGAAGGGGATTTGGGGGTGCCCCACCAGAGTTGTAATGATGCTCTGGGTGGCACCCTGAGGCAATCTACTTTCCATCTTTACTCTTGGGTAGTATTGTCTCCTTCTTAAAGGAAAAAAATTTTAAGTGTTATAATTCACATACCATAAATTCACCATCCTTAAAGTACAATTCAGTGATTTTTTTAGTATATTCACGAAGTTGTGCGATCACCACTATCTACTTATAGAACATTTTCATCACCCCCCAGAAAACCAACCCTTGTACCCATTAGCAACCATTCCCCATTTCCTGCTCCCCTATTGCAGCCTCTGGCAACTACAAATCTACTTTCTATCTCTATAGATTTCCCTGTTCTGGATATTTCATATGAAGAGACTCATATAGTCTTTAGTGACTGGCTTCTTTCACCTAGCGTAATGTTTTTAAAGTTCATCCATGTTGTAGTCGAGCAGTATTTGTTGAAGAGATTATTCTTTTCCCATTGAACAGTCTTCGCACACATGTCGAAAGTCACTTGACCGTAGATGAGTGGATTTTTGGACTCTCAATTCTTTGTCCTTGATCTGTATGTCTGTCATTATGTCAGTACAACATTGTTTTGATTACTGCAGCTTTATATTAAATTTTGAAACCAGGAAATGCGGGGCGCCTGGCTGGCTCAGTCATTAAGCATCTGCCTTCGGTTCAGGTCATGATCCCAGGGTCCTGGAATTGAGCCCCTCATTGGGCTCCCTGCTCCGTGGGAAGCCTGCTTCTCCCTCTCCCACTCCCCCTGCTTGTGTTCCCACTCTCGCTGTGTCTCTCTCTGTCAAATAAAAAACAAACAAACAAACAAACAAACAAACAAAAACCCCATGAAAATCTTAAAAAAAAAAAAAGAAAAGAAAAGAAAACCAGGAAATGCAAGTCCTCCCTAACTTCATTCTACTTTTCCAAGATTGTTTGGGCTACTCTGAGTCCCTTGCATTTCCATGTGAACTCTGGGATCAGCTTGTGCATTTTTGCAAAAAAAGGCAGTTGGGATTTTGGTAGTGATTGCACTGAATCTGTGGATCGCTTTAGGGAATATTGCCATCTTAACATTATTGAGTCTTCTGAAACATAAACATAGGTGTCTTTTTACATGTAGTCTTTAATTTCCTTCAACAATACTGTTGGTATTCTGGTTTTCAGCGTACCAATCTTGCACTTCTTTAGTTAGGGTTATACCTGGTTATACAAACTTTACTTTTGGATGCTGATGTAAATGAAATTATTTTCTTAATTTCATTTTTTGAATGTTCCTTATTAATGTATTATTGTATTCTATACTAATGTATAGAAATGCAACTGATTTTTGTATATTACTCTTGTATCCTGCAACCTGGTTGAAATTGGTAACCCCAATTTTTTTCTGGTGTATATTCTTCATTCTTTAATTTCCCTTTGGGATCAAAAAACAAAATGAAGTATGATAATGATGATGATGTTGATGTTACTGTTGCCTCTGATGCTGGGCCATGGAGTACCAAGAGCCACTGAGAAGTCAAAACCCTTGCTGGAGGAGACCCCAAAGAACTTTGAGTTGGTGACAAAGCTGCTGGTCAAGTTCATAGGCTCTTCCCTTCCTTCTCTCATTTGCTGCTTATCATAGGAATGGGATGCTATGGTGATAGGAACGTGGGGGAGAAGAGTGAAGGAGGCTGCAAGGTAGGGGAGCTTATATATTTTCTGGGACAGGTGCTGGCATATCCCTCTCAC